TCTGCACCTCCCCCACCCTTCATGTTCTAGAAGCAGGCCCAGCGCCAGGAGGGCCGGGATCGCTCAGGCACACTGAGGGCAGACACATGTCCCCCAGGAAGCAGCAGCCAGCACACAAACCCAGGGCCTGGGCCTCCCCCTGCCAGGCTCCCGCAGCCCCAGGGAGCAGCACCTCCGTCCATGCCAGCCCAGGCACCTTCATGCTCCGGAGGCTCTGTCCCAACGGCGGCAGGGTGCAGTCAGAGGGCGTGGGCCCCCGCCACTCACAGAGCCCCAGCCCCAGCCACAAGGCTGCCCGACACACCCCAGGTGCCTGGCACGTGGCCCCCCCATGTGTGACAGCTAGCACAAGCCTCCGCTCCCCCTTGGAAGCAACAGATGGTGACTCCCCAGGAGCTGGGGAGGGGGGAGGGGGACGGCTGGCACACTTCCAGAACTTGTCAACACTTCCCACCCAAGACACTCTTCCAGGAGGGACCCAGAAAGGAGCTGCTGCTCCTCCTCCCCATGCGGGGGTGGGGAGGTGAAGGCAGATTGCAGGGAAGAGCACTGTCTTAGGAGTCCAGGGCTAGGGTGCAAGTCCAAGCCTACGTCATGTACACCTACTTCTCCTTTCTGGGTCTCCTTTTCCCCATCGGGACAATGGGGAATGGGGCAGCACAGGGCCCTTCTTCAGGTAAGACAGGTCAGCCATGAACTGAAGAAGTGTGTCCAGAATCACAGTTCAGCCTAGGGGCGGGGCGGGCAGGACACGGACCAGGTCCATGGCCTGCAGCCCAGCTCTGTCAGGAGAGCTTCAGAGGGGAGGGGAGTCTGGGGGTCCCGGTCAAAGCATTTCCATACACAGTGGGTCCTGACCAGAGTTGCCCTCAGGAGCTGTTAGCAACCTGCTGTCCCTTGGGCTGGGCCCTCACCACCCACTTCTCTTTCCTCCAACCCCCTGCAACCACACTGGGGCTTTCTCAAACAGAACCTGGAAACTCAGAGACACAAAACCAAAGTGTGGGTGGAGGGCCCAGAGCGTGGGTCCCCATCCGGGACGGCATTCTCCCCAGCCTTCTGCCCCGCCTGGGCCCGGCCCCCACCTACCTGGAAGGCAGCGTTGGCCAGATGCACTGGGATGCTCTGTGAGCTGCCTGTGGGCATGGGTGCCAGGGGTGAGGGCAAAATCTGAGGGCAGTCCTGAGGGCTCTGCAGTCAAAACACAAGGAGGTGAGGGTGATGCGGGAGAATTTCAGAAGGGACAGGACTCACGGCCACCCCAGCCTACGGCTGCAGCCTACCTCCCCTCCCACACACCATCTCATTTGACCCTCAAGACAAGCCTCTGGGCAGGAGGCTTTATTGGCCCCATTTTACAGATGAGGAAACTGAGGCACAGAGCAATGAAATAAGCAGCCCAGTGATGGAACCAGTGCCCCCGTGGCTGCTCCGGGGCCAGCCCCCTTCCCCATCTCTGGGCCTCATCTTTCCCAACTATAAAATGTGGGGCTGCACCCACTCTCTGAGACTCGGCTTCCAGACTGACACACGTTAAATGATGCAGAAAAAAGAAACTCCAGACTTCTGGATGGCCCGTGGGAAACGGGCTTGAGGACCTTGGTGCCCCCGGGCTCCACACCCTTCCCCACTTCCGCAGGCGAGAGTCCCAGCCTCCGGGCAGAGGCGCCAGTCCCCCAGAGAGTCCCGGGGCTGGCCTGGGCATCAGCATTCCCATGTTGGAGGTACAGCCACTGAGGCCTGATGGAGCGGGGGGTTACTTCAAAAAAGGAAGGAAGTGAGGGAGGGCAGGTGGTGATATACCTGAGGTCAGAGGGCAGAGCTGGTCTTTGAACTCCTATTGTCTGCCTCCCAGGCCAGAAACAGGCCTGAACCTGAGGCCTAGGGCGAGGGGCAGAGACCAGGGGGCAGGGCTATGCCCACCCTGCCGCCTTAGTGACCTCTCTGAGCTTTACGTCTGGAGCCCCCACCCTGCACTAGGTTCTTCTGACCTGAGGGCCCCGGTGGGCCATGTCCTGCCTCCTCACACTCCGAGCCCGACCTCCGAGAGCCTGAGAGAGAGGGAGACTGGGGACCCTGCAGCAGTCATACCATACCAAGGCCTGACCACCCTCCAGCCCAGAGGGCTTCCTGCTCTGCCCTCTTCCTGCCCAAGTCTGGCTGGGGACAGATTTGGAAACACAACGATCCCTGTGTGTCCACCTTGAGGTCACGCAACCAGGGCAATGGCCTCTGGGGATAGAATTTGGAGGCCTCCCTGGAGTCTTTTCTCCTTACTGTTAATCGGACAGGGAGCTCCTCAAGGGGTACCTCAGGGACCCAGCACAACACTGGACCTTGAGGGGATGCCAATGAATGATCACCAGGCCCATACCAGTGGTAGTCACTAGCTCGCACAGCTCTCACTGTGCTCCTGGACAGTTCTGAGCACTCTGCACTGTGTTAATTCACCACATCCCAACTCCCCAACAGCCCTGTGAGGTACGTACAATCATCACACCCATTTTACAGACTAGGAAATCGGGGCACAGAGAAGCAGAGCAGTTTGCCCAAGATGGAATGGGCAGCACCAGAGGCCTCCGAGTTGTCCCGACTGTGTGCTGACCACCAGGCCAGAAACCTCGCCCAGGCCGGCCCGTGTACCCGGGAGCAGCGCCTGGTGCGGGCCGCAGAGGCCTTGGCTGAAACAACAGCACAGCCAGGCCCGGGCGAGGCCTCCTGAGCTGACCGTTCTGCGGGGCTGGGCGGGAGGAGCTTGTGTCCAGCTCAGTGTGAGCACACACAAATCTCCGTCCCTCCGAGCTGCTGTCTGCCACAGTCTCGTGTGTAAACCCCATGGAATTTCAGAGAATGGAACCCACATGTTTGCAATCAGTCTTCATGGCTCCTGCCAGTTCTGCCTTGCGACTGGCGGGGGGGTGCTCTGAGCTCTGTCCTCCCAGCTCCACCCCACCAGTGGGTCGGCGGCAGACAGGAAGGGCTGGGGGGGGTGAGGTCGGAGCAGGGGGAGCTTCTACAGGAGGCCCCCCAGAGGGAATGACATGGGACCAACCCTGAGGGCCTCCCATTCTCCTTGATCCCTATCTATGATCCCATGGCCACTTGGAGGCTTGTACCCATTCTACGGAGTGGGACCAAGGCTAAGGGTCCTGGCACCCCTTTGCCCTCCTTCGGTACCTCCCCCCCCGCCAGAGGTGGCTAACCCTCCATGGGGCCAGCTGGAACATCTGCTGTTAGCCTCCAGCCCCCACCATCTGCCTTCAAGTCTGGCTTGGCCTTTGGGGAACTTCCCCCACAGGCTTGTGGTTTGGGAAGACTGACTCTACTCCCTAGCCCCAGGGATAGGCGGGTGTCCCAGGCCTGCCCTGGCCTCAGCAATTGGTTCAGGGAGCATAAGTGACCCTAGTTCAGCCAGTGAAAGTCAGCTACGGGACCTCTGTAGAACGAATAAGAGAGAGAGCTCTTTTTGTTTTCTGGGGCTGCCAGGAAATCAGGAGCCTGCCTGGAGCTGCTGAGGCTGACTTGGCTACCAAGAGGAGAGGGCCACATGAGCATGAAGCCCACCCAGAGGGGTGGGGAGTCCCGAAAACGTGGCGGGAACCCCCGGATCCAGCTGTACCTAAAAGTGATGCACCCCCCAGACTTCACACTCACAAGTCAATTAATTCTGTTGGGGCAAGTCCAGTTTGAATGAGGGTTTCCCCACATGCAACCAAAGGACAGGGGCTTCCCTGTCCCATCCCAAGGCAAGCCATGGACACCTCAGAAAGAGGCTGAGTGGTTTCTGCCCTTTGCTGGAGTGCCACATGGGGCACAACCTGCAGGTTCAGGAAACCACAGCCAATTTCCCACATTCCAGCAGAGCTGAGAAGGTGGGACACCAGGAATGAGGACAGATGCTGGGTCAACAGTGCCGGGAGCCACCATCAACCCCGATGGGAGCCCAGCGTGTGCTGGTTCACAGAGGGCCTCACCTGTCCCCACACTGGGACTTACAGACTCTCTTGCAGTCTCTCCCATGTTCAAGGGTCAAGAACTGATGTCCCAATACATGGCTGGCCCAGGGACCCTGAATCCACCACACCGGGTCCCTTCCTACCTTTCTGTACCGTAACAGCCCCCTAAGCTGCCCCCTGTTCCTACCAAACCACTCTCCCCGCTGGCTCCTAATGCAGTTCAGTTTCACAGATGCATCCACACCTTCGAGGGGGCCTGCCCTCCCATCTCTTCTCCTCTCCTCCACTTTCTCCTTCTGGGGCCCACTAGGGAATGGGAAAGTAACAGGAGACTTGGTCCCCAGCACCTCCCCTGGGACACCTCCCCGGCCTAGCCCAAGCCCTACTCTCTCCTCCCAGTGCTCAAGGGGCACAGACAGATGTGCAAACCTCCCCCGCCCACCACCTGACCAGGAGCATGGCGCCCGCATGGCTAACTGAGATGTAATTAAGTGCCAACTTAAGTATCAGTCAGAGCCTTCTGCAGGCCTGGGGAGGGGGCTGCCTCTTCTCTTGCTAGATTACAATAATCCTCTAAGACAGGCCCTCTCTGTGCTCCCCACCCCAGCTCCTGGCCCCTAGAGCTGCAGACCTGGGGGGGACGGTTTATGGGATGCTGCCACAGAAACACCTGCAGACTGGTGAGCTCCTACACATCTGTCAGGACCCTGCACAAAGGTCCCCTTCCCAGAGAAGGGCTCCCTGGCCCACGCAGCAAAGCGGCCACCAGCTCCGGAGGAGCACAGTGGCCTTTTAGTGAGTACCTCCTACGGGCCACTATGGGGCTACCGTTTCATAGTTGCAGCTCCAGATTCCCTGCACAGTGAAAGAAGGCCATTTTAAAGTAGTAAGATGGGTAATTTGATAGTAAGTAAAATAGGCAATGCGGAAACAGGCACAGAGAGGTTCAGGAGCTTGCCCAGGATCACACAGCCACAACTCACACCTCGGGCTCTTGACTCATGATGGAGAGGGCAGAACTATGCCTAACTGGGTTCTTTCCCAGTGCCTTGTGCAGACTCAGGCATACAAAGGATGCCCAATCAATGCTGAATGAACCGTGTTGAGGCTGGGTCCTCCTCACCCCATCATCCCTGTAGATTAGAGCACAGGACTCAGGCTGCCAACACAAATGCTTTACGTTCACATTCCCTGACTCCCTACTATGTACCAAGCCCTGGGCTTGGGGCTGGAAGATGTGGACCCCACAGGAGAACAGGAGTCCTGGTTGGCCCGGACTGGAAACCTGGGGTCCAATGCAGAGGCCTGGGGGCCTCCCCTACGGTTTGGCCACACAGACTCCCCTGGGCCTCTCCCCCAGTGCCAGAAGCCCCATGTTACTGTGTCGGTCCTTTGAGTTAAGCTCCTGGATGACTCTTTTTCAAAGCAGTTCTGAGGCTCAGGCAGGAGGTGCAGAGACCAGAGGATTCCAGATGTGGGCCATGGGGCCCCCCCTCTTAGCACCTGCACACTTACCTCTACACCTGCTTGGAGGATTCCTGATGAGATTCTCTGAGCCCAGAGCCAAGAGGCGGGGGCTTCAGATGCTCTGGGGACTGGGGCTGCTTTCCTGGAACACATGCCCAGGGTGACCTCCTCCTATTAGGAACCAGCGCCCCCAGAACGATATTGGCTACCTCGGTTGTACCATCTGGAAAATGGGCAGGAACATCCCCTTCCTGGAGGGAGGAGCCTCAGGCAGCGACTCAGTGCCTTATCCTGACCCCTCACAGCTCTAACACAAGTCAGAGGTCTAGGAGGTGATGAGCTGTGGTCTCAAAACCCTGGCCCCCCCACCCCTGCCCCAATCTAGCCATACCACCTGGCTGAGCATGACAGCCCCAGCCAAAGCCTCAGGAATCCCACTTGGTCATCACTGGACCGAGGCTGGGGTGGCCTTAGAAGCTTTTTGGGCAAAGGCAGAAGGCCATCCTGCGAGTGAACACACCGCAGAAACCAACCAGCCACAGGGTATGTGGCATTTTCATTTGTATTTCCCCCATCCCCCAAGTCTCCCCACCACGCCCACCCCAGTGTAATTGATTCAATCCAGCCATTCCAGAGTACCCAGAAGGGCCTGGATCCTGGCCAGCTGTAGAGCTCAAGGGACCACAGAAGCAACAGGACCTGGACGCATGTGGTTCCTGAGGCCAGCTCATCTTCTCTGCCCAAGGAATCACCTGCCCCGGGGTCCCCAGCGCCCATGGGGAGACCAAGGTGAGGGCCTTTCAGCCCAATTCCTGATCTGGGGAAGGCAGGAGAACATGGGCCCAAGCCAGAGGGGCTTGGATTCAAGGTCCCAGCCTGGTACTTCCTGGCCTCAGGGACAACTGCCCTGATCCCATGTGGTTGTTGAAAATGTTACAGGTAAGATTTAAAACTGGCCAGTATTGGGGCACCTGGGTGTCTCAGTCAGTTAAGCATCTGCCTTCAGCTCCGGTCATGATCTTAGGGTCCTGAGATTGAGCCCCATGTTGGGCTCCCTGCTCAGCAAGGAGTCTGCTTGTCCCTCTCCCTCTGCCCCCCACCCCCCACTCATGCTCTTTCTCGCTCGCTCTCTCCTCTCAAATAAATAAAATCTTAAAAAAAAAACAAACAACAAACTAGCTGGTATCAGCAAAATGTGCAGAAAGGGGCTCTCCTACTGCAGGTGGGAGTTTAAACTGGCTCAGGCTTTCTGGAGGCAGTTGAGTTAAAGGTGTAAAAATATGGCCCCGTTTTCACCCCCAAAGTGCCATTTCTAGAACTGGTCTCCAGGGAATAATCAAGGACACACACCATGCCCTGGCTATATCAGAACACAAGAAAGAAATGGGAAGTGATCAGTATATCCAACAATAGGGGATTGGTTAAATGTGCTGTTATGTGATGAGCCCAGCGCAGCTGTTAGATCTGGTGCCAGGAAGAAAATTTAATGACGTGGAAATGTTCTCAACATACTAAAAAAAAAATGGTCATGAAAGAGGCAGAGGGCAATCCCCCAGGCCTAACTTACCGCGGGATTGGGGGAGGCCTCACACCGTGACTGGTTGGAGACACAGGCATGCTGCTGGGTGCACCAGAAACAAGGCCACTGTGCCGACAGGCAGCTGGTGCAGCTGGAAGACAAGGGGCCCCTCAGACACTCAGCTCCCCACCCTCACTTCCCCCCCTGCCCCCGGGAACTGGGACCCAAGAAGCAGATCCCAACGCGGGGGGAAAAGGTCTTCTGCATCATCAGGGGCTTGGGCACTCTTAAGATAGTGAGCTCCCTACAATAGGTATGCAAGGAGGAAAGAGACAAGCAGGACCTTTAGGAGACGAAATTAAGTGTGATGAAAGCACTTCTCTCTGCCCCTGCAGCCTGAGTGCTCCCGGAAGCCCGGTGAGGGTTTGCAGCACGGTAAACGAGCTGGCAAGCGAACAAGCGAGGGTCCTATCTGCCTCTAGGACACCACCATTTGTCTTCCAAGGGCCTTCCTGGGAGCAGAGACCCTTCCCCGCCCCCCCGCCCACCACCTGGAGGCAAGCGCCCTGACCCACTCACGCCGTGTGTGGATACACTTGTCCAATGCGGCTGCAATTGTAGATGGTGAAATTGGCCCTGACGATATTCCGCCCGTTGACCCTCACAGACATCGCAACAATCACGTGATCTAGAATGGACCCGGGGAACCAGGGAGAGAAGGACAAAGGGGTCGGGGGTCTCCACTTGGAGGCTGTGATAGCAGGACCCCCATGCCTGACATTCCACGGTGTGGGATGCCCAGTGAGTGAGGCACTTACCCTGGTGGGGCGGGAATGGCGGGAAGCGGTCCCTCGGCAGGAGGTTGCAGTAGGCGATTTGGTGGCCAAAGGCCGGGCCTGGGACCCGGGCCACAGTGCGGATGTTGTTCCCATAGTCACAGGTCATCTCCAGGCCACTGAGGCTGGGCAGGCTGCCCGAGATCTGCAGGATCATGCCCTGGGGGCCAGGGCCCCTCAGCTGGGGGAGTGGGGAGCAGGCCTTTCCCCTCATGGCCCCACCCCCACCCTAGCAACCCTGGGAGAAGGGGGAGACTGGTGGCCGGGACTCCAGGCCAGGGGGCCATATCCTACCTGGGGCTCTCTAGGCCTCAGTTTCCCCAGCTGCCCAAAGAAACGGCCCACCTGACAGCAGTCGAGGAGGCTTTACATGATCTGGTCCCCGTGACTTCTCTGACCCCCTCCCCTGAGAGTCTCTCAAATCTACCAATCTTTTCTCACCGCAGGGCAATTCCCTTTGCCTAGAACGCTCTTCCCAGAGGCCCAGCTGACTCACCTACTTCATAGCGTTGCTCAAAGACAACATTTGCAGCACAAGGCCAGCTCTGACCTGGTCTAAAACATCAGTGATCCCCACCCCGCTCCGTTCTCCACCCCTCTCTCTTCTGCTTCCCTTTTCACAATCATACTTTTCCCCCGTCTTGACAGCCTACCTTGCCTATTCCCTCAGCCCCCACAAGCAGCTGCTCAAGGGCCAAGGCTTTGTCTGTCTTGTTCAATGCTGTGTCCCCAGAGTCCAGAACTGCACTTAACACATAGTAGGTGCTCAAGAATACATTTGATGAATGAATACATGAATGGAATGAATGGATAGATGGACAAACCTATGCCCAGTCCGCCTGATGAGATAAAGCATGTGAAGGACTCTGTGATACATGATAATGGGGAGAGGGGTGCAGAGGAGCCCCAGGCCCCATCTGGCCCTTTAGAACCACCATCTCTCCCTGTTGATGGATGAGGGTACCCAGCCTCAGAGAAGTCACTGAGGGCAGGGCTGTCTGTCCCTCAGCCCCTGTCCCCATACCGCCCGCCATAGCAGCTCCAGGTCTCCACACTGCAGATTCATCTGAGAACAAGCAATAGTGGCCTGGCACTTGGTGGCCCCTCTGCCCCTTCCCTGTACTGGGGCCGGAAAGAGGTGGGGGCTGGGGACTCACTCTCCTTCTACCCTCCAACTTGCGCCCTCCCTCCTGAGACTCGAAAGCCTGCCCACTTGAGTTCAAATCCCAGCTCCCCTAATCCCTAGCTGTACGACCCTGAGCAAGTCACTTTCCCTCTCTGTGCCTCAATTTCCTCATCTGTAAAATGGGGATGTTAAGAGCATCCACTTCACAGAGTTGTGTGAGGCCTAACAGAGGTGACCGTCTCGGGCAGAGTGAGTGCTGAGCACTCAGTGAGAGCTCAGCAAAGCCCAGTCATTCTCGTTATTCACTTCCGGGTCCCTAGGGCACCATGCGCAGGAGTCTCCACCTCTCAGGGCTTGGGGGCCAGATGAAGGGCGGCTTCCCACCCCGTGTCGCCCCCGAGCTGAGCGCTGGCTCCCCCGCGACTCACTGGGTACTCCTGGTGCACGTCGATCTCTGCAGGCAGGACCGTCATGGCGGGACAGCGGCCGGGGCCCTCGCTGGCACTGGTCCAGAAATGCCGCTGGTCGGAGTTGGCACAGTCCTGCTGCAGGGTGCACCTGGAGCGGCAGGGCGCTGGTCAGGCCCCAGTGGGCTCCCCCCCGCCCCGCCGTGCCCAGCCTCTCCCCAGGGAGCCTCACCGTGTCTCCAGGGCACACCAGCCGCAGTAGGCGTCGGCGGCCCCCACGCAGTCCCCGCAGGTGGCATGCACGGCACAGGCAGCGACTTTCACCCGGGCCATCTGGAGGCAGAGGTGAGGGCCCAGCTCCGTGGGGAATCAGCCATGGCCAGGGCCCTGAGACACTGGGGAAACTGAGGCTCGGGGCTATAACAGGGGGCACATGGGGAAACAGGGCTTCCCCTGCAGAGGTGGTGTCTACTCTGGGAGGCGAAGGGCTAGCCGACCAAGGGGATGGGGAGGGAAGGTGCTCCTGCGGGGAGGAAGAGAGGGAGAAAGCTCGTATGTCTGGGGGCCCTGTCAGGCTGGGGCTCTGGCCTTACCTGGTGGGACGTCATCAGATAAAGGTAACCAGGGTCTGCCGGGTCAAACTGCATGACATGGTGCACAGCCTCCCCGTAGGCCACCGTCACCACCCGCCTGCTCACCACCTGCATGCTCTCATTCAGGTTGATCTGTGGGGGGTGGGGGTGGGGGCATCAGGGTGACGGGGCGCCAGGATGGTGCCCACGGCAGCTGGGGACCCGACCGAGGCTTGGGGTCTCAGCCTCATCCTCTTTCCGGCCTTCTGGGGCCAGTGGGAAATCATGGACATGTAAGGGAGGCCAGGGGGTCCAGTCTCTACACTTGTGCCTTGCTGGGTCCCCCCACCAGGAGCTCCTTCCCTCGCTGATCTTCCCCAGCACATCCCACCATGTGAATACATACAGACTTTACAGTTTACAAAAGATTCTCTGGGAGGCTGTCTGGCATCATGCCTCAGAGCAGGGATGTGGGTTTGAATTCTGGCTTTGACATTTACAAGCTGTACAAACATACAAGTTGTCACTCCCCCCGCCAGAGCCTCAGCTTCCTGACCTAATGGGACTCACGATGGCTCCCGCCCCTCAGGACTGTGGTGAGCACACATGGAGAAGATGCCTGCAAAGCGCTGATGGGGCCACACTTCTCATGCCTCCCCTCTTGTGCCCATTTCACAGATGAGGAGACTGAGGCCCAGAGAGGCTACAGACTTGGTGAGTCATAAAATGAAGACACTTCAGGGTCACAGTGCAAGCCCAGGCCTGTGTGACCCCACAGTCCAAGGATGAGGGGAGGGGGTGAGGTCCAGGGTCCCGGCAAGAGGCCGACCAGAACTACCTGAGGCCTAGAAGCTCCCCTAGCTCTGAGAGCCCCTCTGCATGTCCTCCTGAGAACAGATAGTGCCCACCAGAGCTCCACCAAACTTTCTTTTTTGGCTGTCCCCTCACATTGCTAGCATGCTGCCTTGTTGGAGGCCCCGCCAGGCCCTGAGTTGGGACAAGTGGTCTAGATGCCTCCCTGGGCCAGCTGCCAGGGGCCTCCTACTGCCCGGCCCTCCTCTGTGGGCTCCAAACTTTTGGTAGCTCCCTCCCGCTTATGGAATAAACTTGTTCTGGCATTCAAGGCCCCAACAACAGACCCCAGCTTACTCCTCCAGGCTCATTTCCACCCCCTCAACCCAACTCCGGCATTCTAGCCTCTAGGCCTTCGCGCACGCTCTGTTCCCCGCTGGAGTATTTCTCTTCCTCTCCCTTCAGCGAAGATCTGTCCTCCCGGTACCTCCTCTAGAAGAGCTTCTCAAATGCTCTCCACACACCAAATTGAAATTACTCTCTTCCCAGCCTCCCACAGGCTCTGTTCCAACCCCTGAGATATCATCCATCCCAGCTGGCCTCTTGGTGGAGTCTGCCCAGGCAGCCTGGCCCCTGCTCAGTCTCCAGCCTTCCCCCCAGGCACCCACCAGATACTCAGCTTATTTCCACTCCTTCAAACAACTATTGAGCACCTACTGTGCTCGAGAGCCCAGGCCAGGTGCTGTAATCTAAGCCCTGAACAGGGAAGGGCTGGTGGGAGAAGACAGTGCACAGCGCAGGGTGGTGGGTAAAGAGGTCTGGGTTGAGGGGTCATGTGGGCTCCTGGTCAGCTGGCCTTGAATTCAACCCCAGCTCTCACTGTGTGACTTTGGGGCAGTCACCTCCCCTCTCGGCGGCTTAGTGTTCTCATCTGTGAAACGGGAATCCTGGTGCTACCTCCCTCACAGGGGACAGTAGACTCTGACCACAGTCTGGGATGGTCCAGCTCATTTTCCCCATGATAGATGAGGAAACTGAGGCTCAGGGTGAGAAGCAACCACCCCCAGGTCACACAGCTGGGGCCAGCAGAGCCAGGATCTAAACCCAAGAATCTGACCCCAAAACATGAGTCCCACTGTCCTAAGGACCCTCAGTGGGGCTTCAAAGGCTGAGAAGGGTGCCCCCCGCCCCCTCCCTGCTCCCACACCTGGCCCCTCCCCCACCACTGCTAGTGGGCCAGCTAGGGTCCCGGGGCCAGGCAGCCAGGGCACTGATCCCCAGCCGCGCCCCCCGCCCCACCAGCCCGTGGCGTCCGCCTGGGCAGCTGAGGGAATTGAGTTATCGGATCTGAGTCAATTAGGCCAGGGCCTGGTACACACTGGAGCTGTGCCAGGCAGCTGACTTTCCTGACAGGCAGGGGATGGGAGGTGGCTGGGAGGAAGCTGGCCCAGGCCCTGGAAAGTCCTTCCTACCCCATGGTGGTAAGAGTCCTCTCACCTTTCCCAGCTCCAGGAATCATTACCTCCAGAAAGCAGTCATCTTGGTTGGGGCGGGTGGGGGAGGGGGAATCTTCAGAGGGAGGCCAGCGGGGTACGGGGAGGAAATGGCAAGAGAGCCCCCACTTGCCAGGCTGTGGTCTTCCCCTGTCAAAGCCCAACAACTGTCTCAAGAGGCAGGGCTTACAACCCTCCACAGATGGGGAAACTGAGGCTCAGAGAGAGAAAATGCACTGTCCAAGGTCAAGTAGCTAGCAGTGGCAGAGCCCAGAGACCTGAACAGAGATCCCTCTGCTTCAAAGCCCGAGTCCTAGAGACCCAAGAGAAGGGCCTCTCTCAGGCCTGGTTTCCCTCCTCTGCAGGACACGGCCCTTCTTGTTATGAGCAAGAGTAGAAGAAATGGATGTGAAAGATGCTTTGTAAACTGTATGGTATTAGGGCAAACCGGAGGGAACGAGGGCTAATATCAGGCCTGCAGAGGCCACATGTACAGCCTCCTCAGACTCAGCCTCCCCTCAGCCTCCCCAGCCCTGACCCCCCCAGCCCTACCTTGAGCAGCCGCCCACTGACTGTGCCCAGGAAGACCACGGTGTAGTTGCTGACCATGGCCACGGCCACAGAGGAGAGGCCCGGGGCTCGGAACACAGGCGTGGCCTTCAGGGGCTGCAGGATGGACAGCGGGTGCTGCAGGTGGGCAGCCCCACAGTCCAGTTGCTCTGGCTGCAGCTGCAAAAGAAGCAGGATGTCAGACCTTGGCTCTAGAACCTTCTTTGGCTCCCTGCCCACACTGTATGTCAGGCCTCAGCATCAGAGCTTTAAAGTCCGGCTGTGGCTTTACATGCCCAGGTCCGGGCTGAGGCCCAAACACAAGCAGGGCCCTATCCCCCGTAGACTGACCCCTGACCTCAGCGTTTGTCACAGAGCTGCCCCAAGGGGACGACGTTTCAGGTAGGTAGGAACCGTACAGGAAAAGTTCTGTGATGGAGGCAGGAAGAGCTGGCAGCGGGACAAGGTCAGGAGGCCAGTGAGGTAAGGACAGGGTGAGGCCCACACACCCTCATGGACTTGGAGCTGCCCCTCGTGGCTGGCCACAGCCGGCAGAGCAGAGAAGCCCACACCAGACCTCCTGAGGCCATCCTCCGCTTCAGCTTACCTGCTGCTACCCAAGAGGCGTCCCTCCTGCCTTGGCTGGGTCTCCACAGCAACCAGGGGGTTTCCTTCTCCCGGGGCCCCTGCTCTGACCCCAGCACCACCATCCAAATTCCCAGCAGCTCACCAGACCCCAGACTGAGGCCTCCCCACACCGAGGCCCTCCCTTTCTCCCACGACCATGCATCCCCCTCATCTGCCCACATTACAGACGGGCAGACCAAGGCAAGTCGTGTCCAAGTGCATAGCCTTGCCGTCCGCATCGGCCCAGCGCCACTCCAAGTGGCGAATCAGTCCCAGCACACGCTGGAGTGAGACAAATGGAGTTAGGGACCCCAGCCCCCAGCCATGCCCTGGACTTGTTCCCACCCCCTCCCTGGGTCTTGTTGCTCCTTCTGAAGGTTCCTTCTGCAATTTGCACAAAAATACCAAACAGGCCTCCAGGAAAACACCTTTGGGAAGATAATCGTGCAAATCCACAAGGATGCAGACACAAGGATGGTTCAGAAGAGTGGACAGGGGGACACAACCTCAGGGTCCTGCAGGATTGAGCAGGAAGATAATGGCGCATCGTCCAGGAGAGCCGCCCCCACCACTGAGTGACACCACAAATCCGTATGGATCGAGGCACAAAGATACCCGGCTGAGAAAAGTCACAGGGCGTCATAGGGCCGTTTTGGTAAAGCTGGCGCATCCACAATAAGGTAATAGTCATGATGGTGAACATAACAGGCTGTGTTTGGGGCGCCTGGGTGGCTCAGTCGGTGAAGCGTCTGCATTCAGGTCAGGTCATGATCTCAGGGTCCTGGGATCGAGTACCGCGTCGGGCTCCCTGCTACTCGGGGAGTCTGCTTCTCCCTCTCCCTCTGTGTGCTCTCTCTCTCTCTCAAATAAATAAATAAATAAAATCTTAAAAAAAAAAAAATAACAGGCTGCGTTTACTGAGAACTGACACTGTACCAGGCCTGGGCATCAACTCCCTATATCCTGGCCACCCTATGAGGTCCCATGTCACAGATGGGGAGACTGAGGTTCAGAGGGGAAGGAGCCCACTCTAGATCACCAGTTGCAGTGTCATGACTCTATGACTGAAACTAGCAGCAGACATGAGCCCCCCTCAGCCCCCTGGACGCTGGAACATGGGCAGCGGAAGCTCTGAGCAGGGACTCAGAAGGTCACTAGAATGTAGCATCGGAACCAGCTTTAGGGAGCAGCCTTAGAGTCTTTTTGTTGTTTTCTTTTTAAATTTCTCGTTTGTGCTTTTTGCAAGCCTAAGCCACTGATGATGTGCCCGTGTGCGGTTTGCTCAAAAGCCCAGCTAGTTTTCAAAAACAAACAATAAATACCAGGTCCACCTGTCCTTGGGCGAATAAACACAGTTTCAGGCCCCACAGGCTTCTAGGTGAGACCTGTATCCCAGAGCATCCCTGGGGGGCCAGGCCCTGAGCCCAGAGGTGGGGTGGGGCTGAGGCCGCCCCTGGGCCAGAACCCAAGAGTAGGTGGTCTTCCACAGGATGGCCAGGGGTGACCGGGCAAGTGACCTCGCTTCTCTGAGCCTCCATTTCTTTAACTATTAAGTAGGCGCATCTCTCGCACTCCCCTCACAAGAAGTGGGATGAGCTCATTGGTTGGGAAGCGCCTGCACTATGCCTAAATGCTCCAGAAGTGTTAGCTGACGCTGCTGCCGTTTCAGATAGGACTGTCACTCAAATATTATAAACTGGAATTTGGGACAAATCATGCCTACCTCTAAAGCTTTCCAGCTGGACTGCCCAGGAGCCCCTAAGGCAGCCTCTCCCCCGGGAGGCTCTCCCAGCCCCTCTTTTCTGAGCCTGCTCTGACCTCGACATGTCCCCTTGAACACAGCTGCCAAGTGAGCCCTTTAAAAATGCAAAGAGGCCTCCCCAGCTTGATACCCTCTGATGGTTTACACAACACTCAGAATAAACACTGAATCCTAAATCCTCCCATCAGGGGCCCCAGCCCTTCTAAACCCATCCCACGCCCTCCTCACCCACACTCCTCCACTCCAGCCACGGGAGGGGGAGGCTCGTTTCTGTTCCTCAAACACTGGGCCTTACCTCAGGGCCTTTGCTCATGCTGTTCCCTCTGCCCAGAGTGTCATTCCCCAGACTGTCACATAATTGGCTCCCTCTTGTCCTGCAGCTTCAGACCTACCCTGCCTGACTTCATTCTGTGTGTGCCCGAGGTGGGGGACAGCTGTGGAAAGGGGATGCTGGACCATTTCCCCCGGCGGCCTCTCCTGGTCCCGGGCCCACCCCTCAGCCATCCTGCAGCTGCAGGGGAAGAGGTGAGGGGAGCTCTGTCAGCAAGTAGGCGGGAGAGTGGGCACTTGGGTCTGAGGCCTGCCATGAGGGAAGCTTCTCCTAGGGGTTACATAACTTCTCTTCACTGAATATGGATTCCTTGCGTCATGAAATAATAAGCTGTTTTAAAATTAAAATTGTAAACCCTTGCCTGGAGAACATGATTTTCCTCCCTGAGCTCTGGGACGGGGCGGGGAGGGAAGGGAAGACCTAGGAGGCCCTGGATGACACCCTTAGGGTTTTCTGCCCTGGGCCCCACAATGGGAGACCCCAGCCAGCCAGGAAAAGCCGGACGGGGCACCCAGATGAGGGTGATTTGTGGGCTGGTCGCGGCAGAGAGGATGAGGCAGGAACACGCCGGGAATCCAGCTCTCGCCTGCCCGCCCTGACGTTCACAAGCCATTAATTCTGTACCGAAGGAATTTTCTAAAAAGCCTTTCCTCCAACTTTTTTTTTTCTCTTATCCTAAAAATAAAATCTAAAAAAAAATTTTTAAAGGAGAAGTAACCCCCCATCAGCTGCTCTGGATGATCTGTGCTCTGAGGGGAAGCTGACTCTGGACTGCCAGGGGAAATCACAAGGCTTCGAACCGGCTCAAAAGTGGAAGCTGGGACCCATGTCCACGGAGCGGGAAATGCTTCCCCTGCTGGGGGAGGGGGCTGCAGGCCTGGGAAAGGGGGACAGTGCCCTTGGGGACGTAGCAGCCCTCCCAAGTGTGGCCTCCACCGAACTTGGTCTCTGGGGGCAGTTAGCTCCAGGGGCCCAAAATACCACCCTGACCGGCTGACGCTGCCTGAAATTCCTCCCTTAGCACCGGCCTTCCCTCAAGTCTCACTTTCCGTAGGTCTTTCAAAACACAAACTCCCCTGGGAGCAGAGGAGGGCTGGCCTCTCCCAGCAGCCCCCTCCAATCCAGTAGAGCCACCTTTCTAAGCACAAAACTGGTTAAATCCTCCCTGGCGTCAAACCCATCTCCAGCGCCCAGCTCTCCTCAGGATCAGGCCTGGCATTCAAGGCCTTTGTGGTCTGGTTCCAGCTGCTCAGGCTTCAAGTCTCGCTTTTTTCCTCTGTCCCACCCTCTGCTCTGACCACACCAACCTCTGCAATTCCTCCAGTGTGGCCACACCTTCCCACCCAGGCTCCTGATCCTTCATAACCGTTACTCCCTTAGCAGCCAATGCCCTTCCCATACCTCTGAGCCCTCATACTTCCCCTGGCCCATCAGTCTCCCTTGTCTTGACCCATGCTAGTCCCTTTGCCAGACATGTCCAGGCAGCAAATTTTTCACCAGCTTTTAAGATGTGACTCAGAAAAAATCTCCCCTCTTCTGGACGGCACTGTGCTGGTTACCACTTTCATTTATCATGGTAGCATAAACATGAGCTTCTCCAGGGTAGAGACTGTGCTCTAGGATGACTGTTTACTAAAGAGAGGAGACTAATTTTGACTAAAGTGTGATTGACTATATTCAGCTGCTTCTTTTCCAAACAGAGATTGAGAACAACACTGCCATGCTGGGTGCTGGAGAACTAGAGCAACATATGGGCCACCTATATGCCTACTGTGTGTGTGGCAACATAGGGGAGTCAGGTGTTCAGGCCCAGGCAACACCGGGCTGCTACTTTTGGTTCCTCTAAGAACCTCAGTGTATCCCTCTCTAAATGGGACGAGCAATAGCTGCTGCGGGTCTCAGCTTTTTTTCTGAGAGCAGGACACACCCTCTCTCTTCAGCTAGCTGCCTCCTGGGGCCAAAGCTCAGCTCTGCCCACTTTCCCATTAAAACTCTTGACATATTGATTTCACTACCAACTGTAATTGTGTTGACTTTCTCTCCCCAGGAAGCCGGCTGAAGCAAGAGCTTCAAGAGCCCAGTTTCTCAGGCCTCTGCATCCTGTCTGCAGACCCCACCAAACCTCAGCCCCACTGTAGGTGGCACTCTGAGGAGGGTCAGGCAGCAATGGTAGGCCGGGTGGCAGGCTGCAAGGCCCAGGAGTTCTGTCCCAGGGATAGAAGACACCAGCTGTTGGGGCTTTGTGCTCGGGAATTGAGGGCACTTTCCCACCTCAAGTGTTTGACTGTTATCGACCCAAGATCCCAGGAAAGCGAAGTTTCACCGTGAGGAGCTGGAAGCACACACCATCCCTTTTGGGTGTTAAAAAATACACCTGGGGTGGGCGCCTGGGTGGCTCAGTTGGTTAAGTGACTGCCTTCGGCTCAGGTCATGATCCTGGAGTCCCTGGATCGGGTCCCGCATCAGGCTCCCTGCTCGGC